GGTGATTAGAAGATGCGAATCCACAGGGCTGTGTGAGAGGACCTGTGCTCAGGGCACTCCTTGGCTCAATAATGAGCAATGCTTACAGTCACACAAGAGCAAGGACTATAGATTTCACCAAAAACGGCGATGTGACTATGATGGCACAGGGAGGCTGATGGGACAGAGGAGAGCTAAACCTCCCCTTGGCCTTTGGGAGAAATAAAAAAATAATGTCTAAAACAAGGAGCAGCTTAATGTTTAAAGGAGCAGCTTCAACAGCAGTAAATGCCTGAGAAAACAGAACATTTAGGATCCCGCCTCTGGGGGCTGGGGCCAGGCAGGGCAGGAGAATGCCTACGACTGGATGTTTCTATCCACAGACTCAGCCCTTCTTCAGGCATGCTGGAAGGACAGCTAAGATCACTGCTAAGGGACACAAAGATGCAGGAAACGATATGTGAGTAGAGTGTGTGTGCGCATATCGGGTATCACCATGATTACAGAGTTGGGGACAGCAAGTCCACAGAAAAGCAGAAAGAAAAGAAAAACAGAAAGAACAAACTAGATGTTTCTTTTCTCCTTCACCGAAGTCCAGACCTTAAAAAAAATGGAGGAAGGAAACTTCTAACACAAGAGTTCCTTGTCTAGAGCCCGAGGCAAGTGGCTCCTTCATGGAAGAATCTAGGCAACTTCTGCAACAGTGGCCCCCAAAAACCACAGGTTAAACTGCATGAGCTCTGTGTGGAGTATACAGTTCGGAACTGGTAATGACCCCACCTCCTAAAAAAGGCACAGCACGAGTGACCTCCCACAACCTCTCATGACTGGGGTTGCATCCTGAGCAAGGCTTATCTTCCTTCCCAGGACACCTGTTTCCAGGACAGCTCCCGCCTCTCCCCAAGGGCAGGGATGTGAAACCACAGGGACCTTCCCTCAGACAAACCCTGCCCATCCCGGGTAAGATGCACGAGATGGCTGCTCCTCTCACACAATGGGGAAAGTGAAGTCATTTCGAAGACAAGTGAGGAGCCTGCTGTAGGCTGAATAGCCATCCCCAAAGATATCCAGGCCCTAATCCCTGGGACTGTGAAAGTTATACGGCAATATGGATCTGCAGATGTGAGTAAACTAACGCTCCCAGGAGGAGGAGATTATCCCGGACATTTGAAGACAGCAGAGGAAGACAGAGGCTAGGCATGGTGGCTCAGGCCTGCAATCCCAACCCTTTGAGAAGCTAAGGCAGAAGGATCACTTGAGGCTAAGTGTTCAAGATCAGCCTGGACAACACAGTGAGACCCTCACATCTACCAAAAAAAAAAAAAAAACAAATTAGCTGGACATGGTGGCACATGCCTGGGGTCCCAGGTACTCAAGAGGCTGAGGCAGGAGGATGGCTTCATCCAGAAGTTCAAGGCTGTAGTGAGCTATGATTGTGTCACCGCACTCCACCTGGGCAACAAAGTGAGACCCTGTCTCTAAAAAGAGAGAATAAAGAGGAGGACAATGGAAGCAGGGCAGGAGCCGGGAGCCAAGGAATGAGGTCAGCCCCCAGAAACTGATCAGGGGGGCAAACAGTTATCCTCCAGCTCCCAGAAGTTGACCAAGGGGGCAAACAGTTCTTCAACCCACAGAAACTGATCGGGGGGGGGGGGGCGAACAGTTCTTCTCCAGTCTCCAGAAGCTGACTGGGGGGGCGAATGGCTCTCCTCCAGACTCCAGAAGCTGACCGGGGGAGCGAACGGTCCTCCTCCAGCCCCCAGAAGCTGACCGGGGGGGCGAACAATTCTCCTCCAGACTCCAGAAGCTGACCGGGGGGGCGAACGATTCTCCTCCAGACTCCAGAAGCTGACCGGGGGGCCAACGGTCCTCCTCCAGCCCCCAGAAGCTGACGGGGGGGGGCAAACGATTCTCCTCCAGACTCCAGAAGCTGACCGGGGTGGGGGCAAATGGTTCTCCTCCAGCTCCCAGAAGCTGACCAGGGGGGCAAACGTTCTCCTCCAGTGCCTCAGGAGGGAGCTTGGTCAACCGACGATGACACCACAGTTTCAGCCCAACTAGGGGGAATAAACTTTTGCCGTTTTCAGCCACTAAGTGAATGGTGCTTTGTTACACAGCAATAGGAAACTCATACAGCTGGGAAGGGAAATGTTTCCAGGAATTCCCCCAAATTCAAATAAAATGTAAAATGCTCTGGGCTTTAGGATTTTGTGTGCTTGAAGCCCCGCATGTATTAAGTCGTAACTAATGAGTTGTTTATTCCTTCAGCCTGTTTTTTGTTGTTGTTGGTTTGTCTTTGTTTTTGAGATGGGTTTTTTCTGTTTTTGAGACAGTTTTTTGCTCTTGCCGTCCAGGCTGGAGTGCAACGGTGTAATCTCGGCTCACTGCAATCTCCGCCTCCCAGGTTCAAGAGATTCTCCTGTCTCAGCCTCCTGAGTAGCTGTGATTACAGGCGCGTGCCACCACACCCGAATAATTTTGTATTTTTAGTAGAGACGGGGTTACACCATGTTGGCCAGGCTGGTCTCAAACTCCTGACCTCAGGTGATCCACCCGCCTCGGCCTCCCAAAGTGCTGGGATTACAGGCGTTAAGTCACCGCACCCAGCCCAGCCTGATTGTTTTGCTTGGCCCATCTCAGACAAAAATAAAGGTCCAAAGACAATGTGACCCGCACACTGCCAACCAGGCCCGCAGAGCCCGCTCAGCCCCTTCCATCAGCCTGGAGCGCTGACTTCCGGCAGCCTCAGCCTATCCTCCCTCTCCTTTACCCCCAGACCTTCCCACAGCAGCAGCCAGGCTGGCTGGGGCCCCAGCTGTCACCTCTGGGCCCTCACCACCTCCAGGACCTCACTGAGTCCCAGCTCCCAGAGCCACAGGTCTCCTCGGCCTGGCCACCCCTTCTTCCCCGAGACCCTCATCCTAAACAGGGCAGAAAGGGAGCCAGCCCTTGACCCTGGATTCCCTCCTCTTTGCAGTCCCCATCCAGTGCCTCCCTCCCACCTCCTGACCCTCCCCATGACATGCCCTCAGGTCACACCGCCCCTGCCCTCTCCTGAGCACTCCACAGGTCAGCACTGCACCTTCAGCCCACATCCAGGGGTCTTTCCTCCACCCTGTCTTCGTCAACCTCCCTGAGACCTCCAGTCACCACTGCTCCTCCCTCTGCTCTGCCAGTCACAGAGGCATCTGCATCACTGCAGTTCCACAGCTAGAAATGTAAGCCCGTCTGAGGGCCGATTCCATCCTCAAGAGGTCTCGGAGACAAGGGTGGACTTGCAGTTTTAAGAAAAAGACCCAAACAGGTGTGCACCAACTTGTGCAGCCCAAGGCCCTGCAGGAGGCCCCATTACCCACCTGCAGGCTCAGCCACCCCACTGCCCTTGGCTGAACCCCTGCCCTCAGCCAACATGGCCTTCCCCATCTGCAGAGCTGTGGTACCACGCAGGGCCTGGGCACCTGATATCCATCATCTCAAGTCCCCAAAAGCACTGGCCACGATGGAACTTTTTATACTGCTTTTTCAGGGGAAGAAACTTCACACGGTGACAATTACTTTCCAAAGTGAAATAAAAACTGGTTCCCCGTTACAATCACTCTGCCCTCCCCACGTCACCTTCTCTAGGGGCAGGCCTCAGCCCCTTGGAAGGCCCGTGGGACTCCACCCCGGCGGCCCTTGCTGCCCGAAGCTGCCTCTCTGCTCTCCCTGGTAGTCTCCTTATGGGAATGGTGGGGTGCTTCCTTGCCTGGGAAGGCCCCCCAGGGCCCCTTCTGTGCAGGCCTTGCCGGCCATCCTGCAAGTCCCTGTGGCCTCAGAAGGGTCCTGGACAGGACAGCATGGACCACACTGAAGGCTTCAGACAAAGCCACTCTTAGCCCTTGCGGCAGCCCCAAAGACAGGTCCAATGACAAAACTCAAGCACAGAGAAGGTGGTCACCTGCCCAGGGACACATTCCCAACAAGTGACCAGGCAGGTGAGAGGCCAGGTGGTCCTGTCTATCCACACTCCACGGCTCAGGGTCCCCATCTGTCCACACTCCATGGCTCTGTCTACACTCCACAGCCCACACTCCACCGCGATGGGCCCCTTCTCTGCCCACACTCCACGGTCTACACTCCACAGCTCTGGACCCCCTGTCTGTCTACACTCCACAGTCCACATTCCATAGCTCTGGGCCCCTTCTCTGTCTGCACAGCTATGACACTCTGTCTACACTCCACAGCTATGGGTCCCCTCTCTGTCTACACTCGATGGCTCTGGGCCCGCTCTCTGTCTACACTCCACGGCTCTGGGCCCCCTCTCTGTCTACACTCCACAGCTCTGGACCCCCTATCTCTCTTCACTCCACTGTTTATACTCCATGGCTCTGGGCCCCTTTCTGTCTACACTCCACAACTCTGGGCCCCTTCTCTGTCCCCAGTGCACAGCTCTGGGTCCCCTCTCTGCCTACACCTCACAGCTTTGGGAACCCTCTGTCTACACTGCACAATCGCGGCACCACGGCGGAGCCGAGCCCAGGTCGCTACAGTGGGTCTGGAGTTCGGGTCTCTGGAGGCAGCCTCTGCCCTAACAAAGCGGCCGCTCGTGGAGTCCGACGAGGGAACCTGGACCCCTCAGCGCCGTCAGGGCCGCGTTCCCGGCGCTCCCAGGCGCTCCTCGCCCGCGGGACCCTCTGCCCGGCGCCGCCCCCGCGGGTCCCGCCAAGGACCCGGGCAGGTCTCACCGCGCGGGGCCCCAGGAGGCCGCGCACCCGCCCGGCCAGGAGGCCCCACAGGCCCGCGCCCCGCGCCGCCCGCCCCCGCCCCGCCCCGCCCCGCCCAGCGCCGGGCCCGGGACCTGGAGCCTGAGCCGGGCCGGCGAACAAAAGGCAGGGCGGACGGGCGGCGACCCCGAGGGGACGGGCGCCGAGCAGGGCTGGCCGGGGTCGACCGGGAGGCCGAGGGCGCGCGCGCGCGCCCCGGAGGCGAAAGAAAGAGCGGAGGCGGCGCGCCCGGCCCCCGCCCCGACCCCGCACACCTACCGGGCCGCGCCGCTCGCTCCCGCTCCGGGCGCTCCGGCCCGCGCCACCGCCCGCGCGCGTAACGGTCGCCTCAGCAGCCGCCGCCCCCCGGGGTCGAGGCGGGGGCGGGGGCGGGGCCGGAGCCGGGGCCAGAGGAGGGGCGGGGCTGGAGGGGCGGGTCCGGGAGGGGCGGGGCGAACTGAAAGTGAGGCGGGGCCAAGGGAGCGGGGCGGGGTTGGGGAGGGGTGCGTCGGGGGCGGGGCATTGGGCGGGGCGAGGGCCTGCGTGTCGGGACAGCGTGGGAATGGGACTGCGAGGGAAGCGGGGATGGGAAGTGAGGGGCGGGGCCTCCACGGTTGAGGGCGGGACTTCCGTTGCGGGCGCGGCGGCCCTGGTACGCCCGGTGTGGCTTCGCACTAGCCTGGCCCTGGCGCTGGGAGAGACTGCGTTCCCGCAAGCTGGTTTTCCCTGCCTCCGCCGGCCCGGGACACCCTGCAAAGGGCAGGTCGGTGTGGCTGGGAGGAGCCGACCCTGCCTGAGCTGTCTCGGTCCTTCGTCGTCAGTGTCCAAGGAAGTCCCGCTCCCGTTGGGTCGCGGTGCCCGGAAATCCTGGGTGTGGGGAGTCATGCCCCAGCGCCCTGGGTTTTCGGCCGGGCAGATGCCCGGAGCTGGCGGCAGCCTCGCGGGCGGCGTGAGTTCCCGCAGCGAAGCCACGGGGACAGCTAGGAAAGGCCGTTCCCTCCGGGCCCCGGGACGCTCGCGAAGGCGGCGCGGTGACTGCAGCGTCCATCGGGTCTGCCCCTCCCGGAGCGCGGGTAGCAACGGGGGCGGGACCGGAGGCACCGCCGGCCCGAGAGGGGGAGCTACCCAGCCCCGGCCTGCGCCTCTGGCCGCGTCCCAGCCGCCGCCTTCACCCCTTAGGCCGGGGTTCCTTCCTCACCCTCTTCGTGTCTTCCTTCCCCGGCGCTGGGTCTCCCTGCCCCTTCCTTCCTGCCCTCCCCTCCTTCTCTCCCGCCGCCTTTTTCCCTCGAGACGCACCCCTCGCTGCTGTTCACGCTCCCGCCCTGCCGCCCTCCCAGGGATTCGGCCCCTCTCGGGTTTGCTTCTCTCCTGTCACCTGCTTTGATGGGCTCAAAACGCTTCCTCTCCGCCCCCGCCCCATGCTTTCTTCATCATCTGGTCTTGTGTGACTAGTTTGGATCCCAGGAGAAAACCAATGGCATTCCCAGTGGGACAACTGGAATCCAGCAAGGCTCCCGCTGGCAGAGGCGCTGCCGGGGAGCAGGGAAGCCACAGGGAGGTGCTGAATTGGGACAGGTGACAGGAAGCCAGACAGGGAGAGAGAGCCACTTAACAGGAGCTGCGACCTGTGGCCAAGGGACATAGCCAGCCCTTGATGACCCAGCAGAGAGAGCCAGGGAAGAGGCCAGGTGCAGTGGCTCACGCCAGTAATCCCATCACTTTGAGAGGCTGAGGCGGGCAGACCGCCTGAGCTCAGGAGTTCAAGACCACCCTGGGCAAGATGGCCAAACCCCATCTCTACTAAAATACAAAAAATTAGCCGAGCGTGGGGGCGCTCGCCTGTAGTCCCAGTTAGTTGGCAGGCTGAGGCAGGAGAATCACTTGAGCCCCGGAGGCGGAGGTTGCAGTGAACGGAGATCATGCCTCTGCACTCCAGCCTGGGTGACAGGGTGAAACTCCATCTCAGAAAAAAAAAGAGAGAACCAGGAAAGAAACCGCCCCCAAGCCGGACCCCTCGCAACTGTCAACCTTCTTTTATTCTGCCTATGTGCGGATGGTGGAACCTTCCAGAGCAGTGCCAAGCCAGAAGGAAGCAGGCCACAGAGCTCAGCCTTCTCCGGTTCCAGGGCAGGGACAAGTGGCCCTGAGTGAGAGACAGGGAGACACCACCTGCAGGTCTCTTCTTTCCCTTTGGCTTTTTCCTCTGCACTTGCCCGGCCTCCAGGTGCCTCATGGACAGGGGTGGGGGAAGAGGAGGAGCAGCTCATACCAGAGGTCACCGATCCTGTGAGAGAACTCGTGCCCAGCAGGGGGTGGCCCGAGAAGCTGTTTCCATGGGAGGAAGCACACTAAGTCCATCCCCGGGAAAGCCAGGGCCCCCAGAAGTGGGGAGAAATTGGGTGAGATGGAGAGAAGGTGTCAAGTGTCATGCTGGAAGGTTTTGAAAAGGCAGGTCTTGCCAATTAAGCAAAACGTATTCAGTCCATCTAGAGGGGCTAGACACAGAACCACGCCCAAGTCTCTGGGTGGTCAGTTCCTGGCCCCTGTGGTTCTGCTCCTGTAGGCTTCACTTGGCCCAGACTGGCAGGGCAGCCTCTGTTGGTGCAGGGAGGGCCACGGAGAGGGGCGCATCTGCTCTTCCGTGCTTGCCAGGAAGCGGCTCAGCGGCCCTACCCACAGTTCATCTTCTACAGTTGTTCAAGGAGGCACTCCTGAGTTGAACAGGTGGGATGGATGATAATTCTTCCACAGGACTTGGGGTGCAGGGGCATCCCCCCACATTCCAACACAGGCTACTACATGGATGACCCTCGATGACACTATGCTAAGTGAAATAAGCTTGTCACAAAGGACAGATACTGTCTGATTCCACTTATACGAGGTCCCTAGAGTAGGTACATTTATAGAGATGGGTAGTAGGAGGGTGGGCGGCAGGGGCTGGGGAGCAGAGGACAGGGAGGTATTTCGAGTTTCAGCTGGGGAAGGTGGAAGCGACAGGGGCTGGGGAGCAGAGGACAGGGAGGTATTTAGAGTTTCAGTTGAGGAAGGTGGAAGCATTCTGGAGATGGAGGTATTTCGAGTTTCAGTTGGGGAAGGTGGAAGCATTCTGGAGATGGACGGTGGAGATGTTTGCACAACAGCGTGAATGTGCTTGATCCCCCTGAGCTGTGCACTTAAAAATGGTTGAGATACAGCCAGTATGGAAAAGAGTTTGCAGGTTCCACAAAAAATCAAAACTAGAACTACCATGTGATCCAGCGATCCCATTGCTGGGTATGTATCCGAAGGAAACGGAATCAGTGTGTCAGAGGCGTCTGCACTCCCAGGTTCACTGCGGCACTACTCACAATAGCCGGGATATGGAACCCGCCTAAGTGTTCGTCGATGGATTAGTAGATAAAGAAAACATCGTGTAATAGTGAATACTCCGGAGCCCTTAAAAAGAAGGCAATGTGCCGTCTGCAACAGCACAGATAAACCTAGAAGACATTATAAAAGTGAAATAAGCCAGGCACAGAAAGACACATATTGCCCGGTCTAACTTACATGTGGCATCTGAAAATGTCCAAGTCACAGAAACAGTGGAATGCTGGTTACCAGAGACTGTGGGTGGGTAGGAATTGGGGAGACGTTGGTCAAAGGGCACAGTTTCAGCTGTGCAGGATGAGTAAGTTCAGAAGATCTATTGTACAGCATGATGACTAGTCCATCATAATGTACCCTTGAAAATCGCTAAGGTAGATTTTAAATGTGCTCATCACAAAAAATGGGATGTGCGTGATGGGATCCGTTCATTAGCTTAATTTAATCATTCCGTAGTGTAAACGTATATCAAAGCATCAGACTGTACAATTTTTCATTTGTTAATTTAAAAAATGAAAATATACTATGGGATTTGCACTAATTAAAAAAGTAAAAAATAAAAATTTTAGGCCAGGCGCGGTGGCTCATGCCTGTAATCCCAGCTCTTTGGAAGGCTGAGGTAGGTGGCTCACTTAAGCTCAGGAGTTGGAGACCAGCCTGGGCAACACAGTGAAATCCCATCTCTACCAAAAACACAAAAAATTATCTGGGTGTGGTGTGCATGCCTGTGGTCCCAGCTACTCAGGAGACTGAGGCACGAGGATTGCTTGAGCCCGAGAAGCAGAGGTTGCAATGAACCAAGATCACACCACTACACTCCAGCCTGGGCAACAGAATGAGATCCTGTCTTAAAAAAAAAAAAAAAAAAAAAAAAGTAATGATTAAGTTGGTAAATTTTATGTTATGTGTATTTTACCCCAATAAGAAAACATGTAAAACAATGTTCTCAGAGGGGACCACACCTTGCTTGAGGACCTGGTGGTGGCTGTCCTCAGCAGGTGGAGGCTGACAGGCGGAGGTGGGACCTCGGACTGGGTCCCTCCCACGGCGTGGCAACAGGATCCTGATGGCAGAAGCAGGTAGATGCACTTCCTGGGCAGGGAACAGCAGGCAGAGTGGGCAGCCAGGCCAGGGCCAGCCAGCTCCAGGGGCTACACCGATGAGACTTGCAGGGGCAAGGAGATGGAGGCTCACTTGGGGTCGATGGTGTCCATAATTAGAGACAAGGAGAGCTGGGAGCTGGGGCTGCTGGGGCCGCGACAAGCCACACGCCTCACGCAGTCTCCAGGTGGGAGTTGGTGCAAAGGCCAAGAGCCCCTTCACAGGGACCGGATCCATCTGCAGAAGGCCCTGGGATGCCCCGTCAGTCTCTAAGCAAGTGTTTCCCTAGCCTTCCCCTGGGCCTGTGGCAACTTTGCCAGGGTCCGTATGTCCCAGAAAGGAGGAACACCCAGACTTTGGGGGGCTTGCTTGTGTCAGGGTCTGAGCTGACCCAGGCACCAGGGTAACCCAAACCCTATCTGTCCTCCAGAGAGAGTTGGGGCTCATCAGAACTTGACCAGGTCCCCCGTAAGGGGCACCCCTGGACCTGCATGTCCCCCATGAGTATTTCCCTGGCCTCAAAGTGTGGGGGAAGCTGCGCCTCAGGAGCTGTGCCAGGAAGCCAGGCCCGAAGGGGAGTGCTGGTGGCCAGGCGTCCAGCAGGCCTCTGCGTGGCCCATACCCTTCCTTCCCGGCGGGCATGCTGCCCGCACCCATGGGGCCCCCTTGTCAGCTGCCCCCCTCCTGTCAGGGCCCAGCTCCGTGTCACATCCTTTGTGGAGCCAGTGCCGTCCCCACCCCAGCCGCAGTCCTCCCACACACCCACCAGACCGCACACACCTGCCGGGCCCATCACTCTTGGGGGTCTGTGCACACTCCCCACGCGGCAGTAGTTTATTTGCCATCGAATCCTTGTGTGTGCTCAGAGCAAGGAGCACACAGGCTCAGGGAGCTCTGGGCC